AATGTTGCTTTTTGATAAATAAAAAGTATAGGAAGGGGTTGGAGAGATGGCTCAGCAGTAGCTACTCTTGCAGAGGACCTGAGTTTGGTTCCCAGAAACCACACTGGGTGGGCTGTGAGGGCAGCGGCAAGTGCACAGATACATATGAAAAGAAAAAATCTTTAGCTGAATGTGGTGGTGTATACCTTTAAAAAAGTATTTACAAAGTAAAGGCGTGTAGTCAGATCTCTCTGAGTTCCAGGCCAGTTGGGGCCACACAGTGAGGCCTTGTGTCCAAAAACAAACAAAAGTACAGTAACAAAGAAGTGTATAGAAACTGCCAAAGTTTGAGTTTGTATTGTCTGTCAAATAGACACGAGTCTAGAGTTATATGTGAACAATACATCAACACATATGGGTTTATATATAATTGTGGCTTCATTAAAACCTTCAGTATGGTTAGATAAATCAAAAGAGCTTTAGGAACATTGTCTTGACATGATTTCTCACATCACATTGAAGTATAACAATATGACTACTGGTGCTATCAGACAGAACTGTAAGCAAGTCAACATTCCTTATCAAAAATGTTCCCATCTCTCCGGCGTCTGACAGAGAGGCTTTACAGAGCACAGCTTGCCTGAAGAAACATTCCCTCATGTCCCATGGGCCATGAGAGTAAAAACTTCTGGTTCATGAATGTGACATGAGGTTGTAAATGCCTGCAGAATGATTAAGCTAATTCTCTATTTTGAGTAAGCATCAGTGCATTTTGAACACACTGCTGTCTGAGAAGTGCCTGTCATTGCTTTCACAACCCTCCGGGTACCTTGGCTAACTGGGGGTTCCTGTTGTTATACTGGTCCCCTGTTTTGCTGGTTTCCCCCCTAAATCCAGTCAGGTGTGAGCAACCATGAAAACACCATAGTCACCAAAGCCTTGTTGTTGGTAATGTTTGGACTTTGGTTTTGTTGAAACTGTCATGTTTATTTTTACAATTTAAACTTGTACATAAAATGACCACAGTATTAAAAACAATTAACTATCAATACAAAGTCCATAATTTAGTGACAAACACTAACTTTCTCTTATGCTAGCTTTGACTTCTAGACAGGATCTCACTATGTATGTCTAGCTGTCCCGGAACTCTCTCTGGAGACTAGGTTGGCCTCAAACACACAGAAATCCGCCTCCTCTGCCTCCCAAGTACTAGGATTAAAAGTGTGCCCAATTAAAAGTAGTATCATTCTAAAATTCATTAAGTAGTTTAATTCTCACAAATTTCCATCCACTCTAGGACTTCATCTTACATACAGATAGAGGTATCTATGCCCCCACCCTCAAAGCTGAATAAATTGTTCATAGCTTTAAAGCCACTCAAATAGTACAAAGGACAAACAAACAAACAAATAAAGCCCTTCAACTTAAATCCACTTCTAATGTATGCCCAAGCTCCCAAGAACAAGCTCCCACCCCAATGCCCTAGTTTTCAAGACAGAGTTTATCTGTACAAACTTGGTTGTTCTGGAATTCACTATGAAGACTAACCTAACTTCAAACTCAGAGATCCATCTGCCTCCGTCTTCAGGGCGCTGGGATTAAAGGCATGGACTACCACAGCCCAAGCCCACATTCTTGACCTGCACATGTTATGTCCTTATTAAATAAATGTGTTGAAATCTTTTATAATTTATCAATTGTGATAAATTATCCATAAAACAAAATATACTCTTTTAATCATTTTATAACTGTGCTTTTACTTAGCAATGAGTTATATTCTGAGACACGTCATGAGGCATTTCAGTGTTATAAGAATATCACAGGGTACGTCCACACAAACTAAGGAGGATAAAAAGTTGGTAGACGATACAATCTCATGACATCACTGTAGTACCTGAGGCCCCTAAATGCCCTAAACACTGCTCTGAAACACATGACTGCATACAGGTCGTTAGCATTAAGTACATTTATGTATTTTGTGCCAATGACACTGCCATCCATCTTCAGAATACTTTTCCTCTTCCAAAAGAGAAACTCTAAGAATTAAACAACAACTTCCCATTTGTCCTCCTCCCATTCTACTTTCTCTATGAGTCAGTTTACAGCAGATACCAAAAATAAGTGGAGACATAAAGTGTGTGTGTGTGTGTGTGTGTGTGTGTGTGTGTGTGTGTGTGTGTGTGTG